CTCAGCACTACTCACATACTGTACGTCCTCTGTACTCACAGGTGCATGCCGTATTACTCACAACATGCAGTACAACGAGTAGATCATTTCTTCTTCTTTCTTTGATCTTTTGTGTAAGAATAGCACGGCATGAGATCGCGTTATTGGTAACCCTATCTGGCCCACAGCTTTGGCTGGACTTTGCTTCAATAAATCAAGTCTGATACTGCCATTAGTATACTCTTACTTGATTGAGATGGATTGCATTCAATAATCAACAACAGGATTGGACGGAGCACTGTTGGCAATCGTCTCCACCTGTATTTGTCGGAAAGTACGTACGTTTGTACATCGCAATGATTGAAATGGCTACGATCATGGACTAACTACTGCAGTAGATGGCTACTGAGACAAAAAGAACGATTGTCTCAGAAACTCCCCTGGTAGTATCTAGCAGACGATAATTGGAGTTGATATTACGAGTAAGCGCCTATTCATTTTACTCAGCCCAGTCCAGCACTGTGCAGTACTGAAGTCGTAATCAGTGTAGCCGACTGATTCGACAGAGGTAAGAAGTCGAACTAAGACGTCTAACCCAGCACAAACCATCGGGGAGTAAACTATCTACTATCTACCGTTTATGCTAGACGACAATTAAGAATTCATTTATTACTACTTGAAGAGCAGCTGCTTATATATGCAGCATATTCACATTCAATTACAGCGTTAACGAATTAACATACTGTGGCTCGACTTGAACCAATGATCAATATTCGTTACATCGAAATTGCCGATGATGATGCAAGCCGTACAGTACAGTACTGGTACATACTGTACCGTATACGAGGTATACAGTAGTATAATAAGCTAGACAAGCTCTTATTTAATTTTTATTCATTGTATCCAAATCACCGATGATCGTGCACACGGAAGTCTGCAAAGAAAATGTCGGTAAGAAAGTAGCTCTTAACATAGAATGCCTTAAACCATTAGCATTCATTGTAGAATATGCAGAGTATAATTAGTGCTGTAGAATCGATAGTGTAGATACATTGCTAACTCAAATGATTGTAAAGGCTGATTACAATGAATGAACTTGACAATTCCTACCATGGGGAATGTAGACGTACGTCGTATAGGAAATGGTAGTCATTGACGCCTAACCATGTCAATAAATAGCATCATTAGCTATACATGTTGTAATATTCTCAGATAGACTCAAAAACCCGCTTCATTATCCTTATTCTACAATTCTACTCGATCTACGTTAAGCCAATAATTTATTACACAGGTTTGGTTGGTTCTACCCTTGCACCTCGTATAGGTAATGTAAACGATGGAACTACTTACTTAGTTGAATCATCACCAGATACTGTAGCATAGAAAGACACTCCATAGCATGTTAGAACCCATATTATGTCCATGTTATATCCAAAAATAGTGGATATTAGACGTGAGTGATGATTTGTTCAACCATGAAATGAGCTATATCACTCTATTTATTATTGAGCGATAGAGCGTCTCAAAAACGATAGGATAAAAATTTCAATTTCTTGTCAACTTCATTTGATTAACGTGCGTACAGTACATGAATTCAGTGATTGGACTTGATCCATTCAGTCCTTCTACCAATTAGTTTATCGAACAGTATAAAATCCTCCAAGAATACAGTAGAAGCTTGTATAATCTTACAATTTGACCTCCAAACGTATTGCATCTTAAATTAGGGCTATTTTACTGGCATGCAGTATTTTCATTTGTGTATCAATGGATGACTTTCGCTAAGAATGCTAAATGTGTTGTACTTTAGAACAATAATATACTGTACTGTACAGTGATTAAGTAATCCGTAATAATATTAGCTATAGTTGAGTTGAAAATGGACAATGTAATTATTGTAATATATCTCTCTTTAGATTTAGAATATTACCAACAAGCACAAGTTAAAAATGGAAGATTATTCTATCAATAGCTATGAAATGGCTGTTCAATCTGCGGATAAAATCTCAACAGGTAGAAACAATAATATTTTATTGCTAACTAGCTATATTACAAGTACTACATACATATTTTATACCTATAAGTTAACAAAACGAACACATTTTATAACTTTCTACCAAATCATTTCATTATTATTAACTATTAACTTTTCCTTTTGTAAAAATGAATTAATTCCAAGATGAGAAATCGACGTTTTCTAAGTTAAGCCGTCGTAAAACAATCTATGGAATTATTATTGTACTCGCAACGGCTGTTACTTTTAGTCTTTTTAACCAATTTGGAAAGGTTACAGTCTCAACTGAGAGTAATTTCACTTCGATGACTTTCTTTACTTGGTAAGTATAATAATTCTAGTACATTATACCAACGATACATGATACTAGGATAGAATATTGTATTACTAAATATACCCACTGCTAAACTTAATGCAGGTGTATACTATTTTCTACATTTAATTTTTCCAGTCTAAAATAACGATAAAATAATAAATATAGTCAATGTCACTCTATTTTGTTTATAGGATCACATTAAAAATTGAAAGCTTTTTACTAAATCATATACTATATATGATAATTTTACACTCTAATAGTTCTTTCCACTTGTTAACCTTATACGTATTTATAAACACTACAATCTCATAATTGTCGGTTGTCACTAAATTGATTTTTACAGTAATAAATTACATGTAGGCTTCGATTCTCATTAAATTTTAATTTCTTAATACATTAACCTATGCATAGGGTTTCAGCTTCAACTACCATACTCACTTTTCCAATCCATGCCATATTGTTAATGATTTTTAAGGGTGAAAGCTTACGCCAAATATATAGGTATCCTTGATAATATATTATATGCCGTATATCTAGTTACCTATTGATTTATTGAACTTACTAGATAAGCGTACCGTAGGTATATTAATCTTCTATTTTAGCTCTTACAAATGCATCGTGCTAATACTTACCCACACTTACGATAGTATCACTTAGCTAAGAAAATAACTAAACTCTGATTGTTTTTAATGTTATTTAGAGAATCAATAAAAATTTGTCCACGCAAAGATATCAAAAAAGTATTTTGGTTACGCTTGTTACCATTAGCCATAAATATGAATATGGTTATCGTATTAAACTATTACCCTTTAAATTTTACGGCCCCAACCGATGTTACAGCAGTTTTTTCATCGGTACTCGGCATGGTTTATGTGCTATCTATCATATTTTTGAAAGAGCCATTTATATTGCTTAGGGTAAGTGTTATCATAATTCTAAGACTATGATAGATTTTTAGAGACAGAATTATTATGTATATCTATGAATTAAGAGTAATGATGTATTTTAATCATGAAGTAAAACATATTATACTCATTCAAAAACAAAAATCGCTTTTAAAATTTTATTAATTTTTAGGCATTCGCAGTATGCTTATCTACGGCAGGCGTCATATTGTTTGCTTACGACGATGGTTTTGGCTCATTCGCCGCAATAGGCGTCATTTTATCCACATTATTTGCTTTAGCTGCTGCTTGTTTTCGAGTAAGTTACAAAAATTTGATCATTAATGGATTGCATCTGCAGATATTTATCGTTTATCCTTATTGAAATATAATGTTTATCTACTAAACAACTTGTAATATTTATCAGGTTCATACAAAAGTTTTCATTGGTGATGCATCGGCAATTCAAGGGTCAATGCTGTTATCAATTATTAGTGTCCTTAATTTATTGTTTGGTTGGATATCTGTTATCATATTTCATTTTGCGGGAATTGAAAATCTTATGTGGTCTGAAGTTCCTTGGGAACCTCTAATGATTACAAATTTATTTAATATGTTATATACCGGCTCAGTTATTATTGGAGTCGCCGTTACATATCCTGTATTCATTTCGCTTGGTGCTCTCTTTGGAATACCGATTAATGCAGTTATTGACGTAATCTTCCGTAATGAATCGTTTTCTGTATTAAAAATATTTAGTACATTGTTATTAGCTTTAGGATTTTTAATTTTATTAATACCTTTGGAAAAGGCTCAGTGGATATCAAAAATGCCAATTAACTTACTAATGTGTAGACGTCGAAAAACATAAAAGTCAATACCAGCACTGATGTTTATTCGAAATCGTTTTAGCAACTTAGCTTAGGAATGTCTCTGCTGACTATGAGGCTTTCCTATAGTAGGCTGAGTGTATATATCGCATTGGCTTTCACTCTCGAATTGTAGTACAATTTTATCAGGGAGATAAATAAAATAATTCTGATATTTCAACTCGAATGAACTTAATTCACAATACTATAGCTATTGCTATAGATTTCAATAGATATTTATTTCTATTCATTTATTAGTATTGAGATGAAGTAGTTTTTACCCTGTTTATTGCAGCATTTTATTAATCACTTTAATTTTCATAAGCATATTTTCTATGTGTGATTAATGAATGTGGCAGACTAGACAGTAGCATTCGCAGGGGTTAATAGTTCTAGTGCAGATTTTTCGACCGATTTTCATTCTTATTAATCGACTAGCGACAATATGTAGATATACACTATGGTACTGTCACAGGTCTCAATTGTAGAGACTAGCAATAAGGGTTGAAAATGTAATTTCAACTGTTATACTGTTACTAACGACTAATCGAGATTAGTATATAGAGTCGCTAGCCGATCTACTATATTGAAAAATCTCTTCTGTAGTCAGAACCCTAGTAGTATCAGTATAGCCGGTCTAACTTTTCAAAGCCTCGCACCTCGTGGGGCTACAGTATAGCCAATTATAGGGTGATAACTTACCCAAAGCGTTCCATTCAGGAATTCTCCAAACTCTAGTCTAATCCTGTTAACTACAAATTCAATTTGGGAAATATCCACAATTATCCTTACATTTTATCTAACACATTTGGTTTAAGATTTTAATCTAAAATATTCGAAATATATATATATAAGTTTTCCAATCAGGTTACATTCCTATAGCCATCACTAGTGGCAGCTGACGGCAATTTAAGTTATCCTAAAATATTCGTAATCCTCTTATTCTTATCATGCAATTCTGATAACAAATATTATCATCATAGCACATACTGTACGTATCTATCGTACTTTTTGACCGATACATGCTGTTTAAGTTTTACGAGTGTAACGATAAATTTAGGAATTAGGACTATAAAAGATACAAGGCAAATTATCCCGTTATTGCTACTGTCCTGATGATGGTCGCAGTGCTGTATGATACGTCGGCAGATAATCATAGAATCTGCTAAACTAGTTTCCAAAATCTATATTCAAGAATCTACTGCTGAATTTCGGAAATACTATCATAATAAAATAATGTCTATCCAGGTAGGGTTACAGCGTTAATAATATAAACAATTATTTGATATGACCAATCATTGGTCCTACGGCATGTATTTCCAACAGATTTCGTAATAGGATAACATAAGAATCTATTAGTTCATTGTTAACCACGACAATTTACTAATAGTTTTATATCATATAATAAGATATTGAGGTAAAGATTATTCACTGAAAACTTGTATCATTCAATTTTTAATATTGTAAACAAATTTTGAAAGGCTATTGCCATTGAATATTTAGAAAGGCTATGTTAGTTATTTTAAAGTAAAATAAGTACTGTATCAATTATTTCAATGCTGGTTGTATATAAACTGCAGTAAGAGTAACCTATGAAATAATTTCAATTTTAGTTGCAACTTGTTGTTGGCAGAGAATCCTCAAAAATTTACCATTCCTCCATCGATTTCTTTTTCCGCTCCGGCAGTCTATGACACTATACTGTACTACTGTACTTGGTACAGTTTAATAGTCATAAAGATGGCAGTCCGTAGCATTGGAAATCTACCCCAGAGAGTCGATTACACTACCTCAGGAGTCTTGTACAATGTAATCTAGTCTTCTACCTTGTATATTGCTAAATATTTCATTGCGAAAAAATATCTTCTCAAAAATACAACTACTGCAGTTTCTTGCAAACTTCACTTTATTATAGAAGACTAGGTTCGTCTTACAACTTGGAATATTAGTCGTAAGGTTATTAGGGAATGCTCTACATTCATATTTAGTAATCGACGCTTCTCTTCACTTTTCTTGTATTGAAACTCTGTTCCTGTTACTCCTCACTTTATCACTCTGATAGAACTAACACATTACCGGTACATACTGTATTGGATTTTTGCATTGACTTATCCTTTGGATTGTAAAGTGTATGCCATAAATCATGATTGATAACACTTAGAGGAGAAATAACAATATCAAATACGATACGGATCGCTCAGGAAATGTTTCTAAAGTAACTCTTTAATAATACTAGTACTTTATTGTATCAACTTCATTAAGCAACCGAAAACGAGAAATACAAACTACAAACTTCATGCTCAAGACAACACCCACAATAGTTGCTTTAACGCATATACAGTATATAGAAATCAATTCAAATACAAATATTGAAATAGAAATTATTATAGTAAAAACTCAACTAAACCCTATCAACAAATCATCACGAAGACTCGCTTCGTCGAGGTGTACCATATTTAATCAATTAAAATTCTTTTCCTCTAAATTCTTGTTGATTACTCTGTTAGAACCAGTATTAGATACTATACCTAAAGTAATTTCCAAGCGAAATGCAACGAATATGCAAATCAGTAATGAGTCAGCAAATTATAGCAACATTAACCTAATTATATATGGTTTGGCACTAATAAGTTGATAGAGATACATAATCTATGCGACTGTACCATATAAATTAACTGGCATCTGACTATAGCTATAGTATAATGATAGGCCTACAGTGCAGCACAGAAGCTGTAATATGATAGAAATGACGATTGTATTTTGATACCATTCATTCCTGTTAGTAAAGACTACTAAAGGAGAGAAAACCGGTTTTCCATCTATAGTAGTCCCCGCTATTGTTTACGATACTATTTATTGATTATTTTATTGTAGACTGGGTATTTACCACGCGTAGATGCCGGATTACTGCTACGTATAAAATAGTAACAGTAAAAGCTGACTAGCATTAATTTCCTCTATCGATTTGAAGGTAATTTATGTAGAATTCTAGTTTGATCTGATTGTAGTTGAATTCCGTTTCAAATTTAATGTATAGCTTAATAAAATAATTTACAGTTCTTGTGTGGCATAACGGTGCAAGTATACTTGCATAATATCATTGCTATTATATACGCGTACATGTAGTTACTGTACCCTCAGATAGACTCAGGTAACCGCTTATCGTTAATTTACAGTTTTGATGATTTCATAGTAAACTAATAATTTCTTGCGTAGGCTTCGTGATTATGCTCGTATCTGTACGGTTAAACGATAGAACTATCGCTTTAGTTGAATCAGGAAACGACATAGCGGATTCTAGTATCTTAAAAGCAATGCCATAATGGCTTTTCGATTTCTTGTTAACTTCACTTGATTGCATGAATTATTCTAAAAGTATAATATCCTCCGCAACTAACGTAAATACTCGTATAATCCTACAATCGAACTTGCTAACAAAGTCTATTCTTAGGGTTGTGTCACAAATGTATTTACCGTTTTCGCAGCTGACATACACTAAATTATTAATAGATAACTCGAGCTAAGAGTGCCAGATATATTCGACTTTATAACTATAATAAGGGTGTAACAATATTAACTGTAATATATTTGACAACTGATGATGTAATTAATATCGAAAATTCGTCTAGATTTAACATCGCCAATAAATACACAAGTTAAGAATGGAAAATTGTGTTATTAACAACGAAATAGCTATGAAATCTACAAATTTCTTCTCGACAGGTAGAAACAATTTTATACTTTATTGCTAGCCATACTGTAAGTATTTAAGTATATATTATACAACGATAAATTAACATTCATGAAATATTTTACAAAATAGTTATGGAATCTGCAGATAACATCTCCCCAGGTAGAAACAATTTTATACTTTATTGCTATCTATACTGCAAGTATTTAAATATATATTATGCAACCAAAAATTAACATTAACGAAATATTTTACGAAATAGTTATGGAATCGGCAGATATCGTCTCGACAGGTAGAAACAGTTTTATACTTTATTGCTATCTATACTGCAAGCAATTGAATATTATATATTGCACAACGATAAATTAACATTCATGAAATATTTTACGAAATAGTTATGGAATCTGCGGATAACGACTTGACAGGTAGAAACAATTTTAAACTTTATTGCTATCTATACTGTAAGCATTTGAATATATATTATACGACGATATATTAACATTCATGAAATATTTTGCCAAATAGTTATGGAATCTGCGGATAACGTCTCGACAGGTAGAAACAATTTTATACTTTATTACTATCTATACTGCAAGCATTTGAATATATATTATACATCGATAAATGAACATTCATGATATATTTTGCCAAATAGTTATGGAATCTGCGGATAACGTCTCGACAGGTAGAAACAATTTTATACTTTATTACTATCTATGCTGCAAGCATTTGAAGATATATTATACAAAGATAAATTAACATTCATGAAATATTTTACGAAATAGCTATGGGGTCTACGGATAACGTCTCGACAGGTAGAAATAATTTTATACTTTATTACTATCTATGCTGCAAGCATTTGAATATATTATACATCGATCAATTAACATTACTGAAACATTTGTATCGTCTATTGAAATGGAAAGATTTATAACATTAACTTTGAGCTTTTCTTACCCAATTAATTGTACAATATTAGATAGCAAGGCGGAGATATCTGTGCGATCTAAATTTAGTATTCGTAAAACAATCTATGGGATTTTTATCGTACTCGCAATAGCAATCAGCTTCAGCCTTTTGATTCAATTTGGAAAGATTACAGTCTCAGATGAGCATAATTTTACTTCCATAGCACTCTTTACTTGGTAAGTAATGTAATTTTAGTATTTATGTATCGTATTAATGTAAGTGGAGGTTATACCGTGCATGTACTCCAAGCTCAGTATACAAGCGAATTTATTCCTTACTTTCGATATTTTATAACATAAAACGATAAGATAAAATATGCATCTTTGCTATCTTAATCTACTGATAGAATTAGAATGTAAATCAAAATACTTTTACTGATTTATTAATGAAGTAAATATCACTACGTTAAATAAATATTATAACCTTTTCTACAGGATTGCAGCGTCAACTAATTCACTTGCCTTTCCACTACATGCCATACTTTTAATGATTTTTAAGGGCGAAAACTTACGCCAGATATACAAGTATACATGATAGCGATCGATATGATAAAAATAGTAATCTATTTACTATACCTTGTATCTAAATTACATATTGAGTAATTTAGATACAAGGCATAGTACATACTTGATAGACTACCGCATGTATATCATATACTCATTATATTGATAAACTGACACTTATATTTAATCGGTAGAAAGAGAAATCACTAAGCTTAAATTATTTTTAATATAATTGTATTATCTAGAGAATCAATTAAAATTTATCCACGTAAAGACTTAAAAAAAATTTTATGGCTTCGATTACTACCATTAGCCATACTTATGAATATAACTGTCGCGTTAAACTATTACCCTCTAAACTTTACGGCTCCAACCGATATTACGGCTATTTTTTCGTCAGTACTAAGCATGGTCTATATTTTATCGGTCCTATTTTTGAAAGAGCCATTTGTATTACTTAGGGTAAGTATTCTCGTAGTTCTAAGATTGTAAAAGTAATACATATTTTTAAAGATAGAAATATCATTTAAATTAAGGGCTTTTAATTAAGAGTAATAGTATTTTATTCGTGAGATCAAACATGTTATACGGTATCAATTGATAGTAAAAATATCACTTCTAAAATATGATTACTTCTTAGGCGTTAGCAGTATGCCTATCTACGACAGGTGTAGTACTGTTCGCTTTTGATGATGGTTTTGGCTCTTTCGCGACCTTGGGTGTTATTCTATCAGTATTCTTTACTCTTACCGCAGCTTGTTTTCGTGTAAGTTATAGTAAAATTTATAATTACTTATTAACGAACTTTATATATATGTTACTGCTTATCTTTATTAAAGTGTTACAGTTTAAGTACTGAAAGGTATGTAATATTTATTAGGTATACGAAAAGTATTCTATTGGCGATGCATCGCCAATTCAAGCATCGATGCTATTGACAATTATTAGCATTATTAATTTCTTGTTGGGATGGATACCTGTTGTTATATTTCATTATACGGGATTTGAAAAGCTTACATGGTCTGACATTCCTTGGGAACCTCTAATGATTACAGATTTTTGTAATATGTTAAACGCCTGCTTTGTTGTTATTGGAGTCGCTGTTACCTATCCTGTATTTATTTCGCTAGGTTCTCTCTTTGGAATACCGATTAACGCAGTTATTGACGCGATCTTCCGTAACGAATCGTTTTCGGCATTAAAAATAGTGAGCACGCTATTACTTGCTGTAGGATTCTTAATTTTATTAATACCTTTGGAAACGGCTAAATCGATATCTAGAACGCCAATTAAGTTGATAACTTGTAGATATCGAAAAAAATAAGAGTTACGATTACTCTTATAAAATCCTGTTTATTGACAATCGCTTTATCGAGTAATGATAAAATTTATATCTTAGAGATAAAAATAAAAATAGTATACATTACAGCTGTAGACAGCCAGTTTGACAATATTCACAATAAAGATTATAGAGTGTGACAAAGTACTTATTATATCCATCTGATTTCGGTGGTATGATGTAGCTTTTGCAATATTTATGGCAGTATTAAAGATAGACTAGGTTTTATAAAATTTTGAAGGTTACAGAATAATCTTATCGCAGGTGTAATAACTGCTTCTGTAAAGCTTCTTTTAATTAATAAATACACAAATACACACTCTGTTGTTATTCTTTCTCTCCCTGTCTCGATAAGCATTTGTCTGGGCTTATGAATTTACAGTTTATTTTACTAGATAGACTTTATTGTTGCTTGTTTATTAGCGATAACATATAGGGATATAATACGGTACACGTATTCTATTGATTTATTAGTACTAGTAGATCCCGCACTCACAACATTCGCTTGGTGTACTTGTACTTTTTACTTAATAGTATGTACTGAAAGTACATGTACACATATCACATACGGACAAAATTATTTTAATATAGTAGATTTATTAATCCTTTCACTAGTTGAAATTATTTCATAAATTTTATATCACGGGATTGCGATCGATTTCAAAGAGATTGAATCTCGTTTGCAAAACTGATTTGTAACAGTAGCACTGGAAGTATACCCTAGAGAGTCAATTACACTAATTCAGTAGTGTTGTACAATATAATCTAGTCTTCTATCTTAGATTACTAAATATTTCAGATTACGTAATCAGTACTTCTATTCACTTTTCTCGTATTAAAACTCTGTTACTATTACTCCCTCGCGTTATTACTCTGATACAACCAATACGCATATATTGCATCCTGCGTTGGGCTTGACCTAGACTTACCCCTTGGATTGTAAAATGTATGATTGCCATCAATATATATGAATATTCTTGTGACAAAGATACACCGGAGATATTTCTGGGTATTTCTGGGTCTTCTTCTATCTCGACTACTTATCAAGATTAATCACCCGCAATAATTATAAACATTTTCCTTCCGTTTCACGGCAAAAACGCTATAGACCTTCTCCTTAATCATAAACAATAAAATAACGAACTTTCATTCACTGTAAAAAGAAACTCATTTTTATACCTTTGTAGTGATTTTAGCTAATTACGGTAGTTTTGTGTACACTACAACCTTCTATTTATATTCGTGAGCAGTCATAGAGTATACATATACATGGAATTTAATACTAATAAACGACATGGCTGTCGTATATTCTTAGACCTCATTTTTATTGCTTAATACTCTACTTTAAAATACGTTAGATCACGCATAGAACACGAGAAAGTCATGATTAGAACACGGTCTGACCTTTAAGGTCTCTTTACAAATAAGGTATTTAACTAATTCACTTAACCTAACTGGAAAATGAACTAGTTTTACAGTCTATAACCTAACGACAAGTTACCAGTTGTACAACAATCAATGCCACGTATTTATACATAATAATGATCTTTAACCCTGTCACGTTCTGTAATAGTTACATAATTAGTATGTTACCTTCTTTCTATATATGGTTAAATATCACGATGTTATCGCGTCAGGCGTATATAGATGTAGTTATGGTACTATATTAAGGTTATCTATATATGTATTCTCATGTTGCCATACTTGGCATGATAGTCTATTTGTAATGACTAAACTAGGGAAACCTTTCTGT